ACACGAATGAGTCTACGACCACAGCAGCTCAGGGCCATAGCTTGAGCTCAGCTCATGGTCCTACGGCTTCCCAGGCTAAGCGTGGGGTTCACGACGACGTGAAGCGTCGTGATTCTTCTGATTATAAGCGTCTACGACGTCTGGGTAGTAGCACCTCAAACTCCCACAAGTTTTCGGAGTTTGGGTATCCCCGCCGCTTCACAAGATATTGGGTTAGACCCTGTCGACGGCGTCGATCCACAAGGCATTCCACGTGGTAGTGAACGCTACCATTCTCATCGAGAAGATTCGGCGGTGGGCGATGACGACTTGGTCGATCGCCGTTCGGTGACTCGCGATACTCTTTGAGCGTTGGAGGACAAAGTCCGTCGTCCTTGGCACTCTGTCGAGCATCTTGTCGAGGTCGCCTACCGATTCTGGAGCACTTTGTGCACCGACCAATTCACGTAGAGGATTATCGTGCCTTGTCTGAGCGGCTCCTAGCACTTCGTGTGACGGTGGAGCGGCTTGCGCCGTTAGAAACGGAAATTGTTGCACTCCGTGCTCAGAACCAGTTGCTGCTTCAGGTTCTGGGTGGCCGAGCGCCTTTGGGAGCCGCCCCGGCGCCAACGCTTTCGTGTTTGCTTAGGCCGGATCCCGGTATGCCCACATAAAACACCGGGTGGGTGCGCATCCTTCTCGGAAGGTTTAGCGCATACGCAAAGCCTCGCTTCCACAACCTTAAAAGGTCCAGTAAACCGCGGATGGAGCTTTGTCGAAAAGACAGCAGAGACTGCATGCGTAGAGAGGTTATTGGCATTTATTAGATCCAGGTCTCCGACCTCAAAGTTTTTCACATTTCTTCAGCTTCTTCCATCTGCATACTCTTTCTTCGTGTCTTGTCTTTCAGCCATTACATCGCGAACGTGTCGTAAGATACTCAGTCCGGTAGACAGAACGTCATCGTCTTCTTTACAGACGGTGAGGGGGCTGACATCAGCGAGCCTTCGGCTATTCCTTCCCTCACAAGCCCTCAGTCATGGGATGGCGGCGTCAGCGGGACGCGAGAATAAATAAGCCCATTCAGGTAAAACGGCGTGTAGCCGGTGCATTGTTCAGAGCAAACTCTACGAGTGGCAACATGGCGGTCCAGCGCTTCGGCGTCTCAGCGCAGACACTGCGAAAAACGTCTTCATCGACGTGATTCACGCGATCGGTCAGACCATCGGTCTGCAAATTGACATAGTCAACTTGGTGCCCAACACAGTACACCAAAACTCCCCAGTGGTGTGTTGGTCACTATCAGAGATAATTGGCTCCAGGAGTTTATGTTGACGAACGACACGGTCGACAAACAGCATCACTGTACCCACACCGTTGATGGTGTCCGGCTCTGCCGCAAGATGATCCATCTTGCTCAGACAGTCCACAAAGACCACGACAATTGTGCTGCCCGCCGAGTCGTTCGGTAGACCAAACACAAAGTCCATACTCATAGACTACTGTACCAGCATTCGGAGCGTATCGGTAAACCGGCCAGCGGTGCCGCCCCATTCGGAGAGGGCTTCACCCTCTGACACGTCTCATACACGCACACATATGTGCTCGTCCATTTGTACAGCATGGGCTACCAATAGTGGCAACTAAGCGAGCTGTACGTCTTCTCACGACCGAGATGACCACTGAGTGGAGTGTCGTGGGCCTTGTTGAGGATATAGTATTTTAAATCCTTATTGTGAAGAACCACATGATATAAAACAGCAACTCATTACTCAACGAATATCAGTGTTACCGTGCGCGCAAATGCGCCGACAATTTCTTGTCCGAGTTTCCAACTTCCTTGTTGTAGCAGCGCTACACACATACCATCACCGTATGCGGCGCGGATCAAACCCGTCACTGGCATGTTACTGTCGTGACATGAGCAAGATCATAGTCCGGTCTGCGTGACAACGCATCGGCCAAAGCATTCTGCTTTCCTGGCTTATACTTCACCTCGAAATTATATCTGCAAAGTATGAAAGCCACCTGGCCATCCTCTGCGAGAGGTGAGGTGACTAAGTTGCAATGCGTAATGACGCATGATTTGTGTGGATCACAAACGGCTTTGAGCCAATCAGGTGCCCTCTGAACTTGGCAAGTGCATACTTCATCGCAAGTAATTCCTAGTGGTGGACTGGGTAGTTCCTTTCCGCAGCCTTAAGCTGGTGCAATCATCCGATCTCGCCCCTCGGCGTCTGCTTGCAGCAGTGCACAGCCGATGGCAAAGTCCAAAGTTGACACTAAAAGGACGATCGGGGCCTGGCAACGTCAGTATTGGTGCATGAAGGCGGCTATCTTTGACCCTGTCAAAAGCCTCCCATTTCTCGGTGTCCAAACACTATTCCGTAAAATTTTAAGGAGATTCGACAATGGTGCCGTTCACGAAACTCACTATGATTACAGCATCGAAGATACCATTGCTCAATTTTCTACCATTGATTATCTGCGTGCCATTTGTACATTTGACACTGTTTCCGCATAATTTGCGCTATACTTGTGCAAGTAGTTGGCGTTACCAAGCCACTTGCGCAAGTCTTTTTGGTTCGTTGAAACCGGCCAGTCCACAATGGCCTTGACCTTAGCGGGATCCGCTCGAAGGCCACGCTTCCTAATGAAGCACCTCAAAAAGGAATTAATTTCTTCCGCGCCGAAGATGCACTTATCGGCATTAGCATACAGCTCA